AACGGCTGATGGTTTCAATGTTTCGTACAGCCAACGTACCTCATGTTGTCCTGGATTCGACATGTGTACAAGTACATATGTAGCGTGATGGCAGACACCGACAGCTTTTTCAAACATGCTGCTGCCGGTCTGGTCTTCAGGTGCTCTACGTATGTCATGGAGCAACAACCTTGGCCTTTCAGTCGGAAGCAGGTAGCAGAGCCGATTGCTCATACCTCTTCCCGAGAAGCAGGCTCCAAGATGCGCCGGGCTTTCTTGCTCACGCCGGTCTTCGACCGCCCCCTTCCCGCCGCTCCCCGCTTAGCTCTCGTGGTGTTCATCGTCATCACCCGACCGCTGCTGTTCCTGCTTCTACTGCGACAGCCAACACCCCCATGGCTGCCACCATCCCCGCGTATTCTACTGCCTTGCACAGGTGTCCCACTCGTGACGAAGCACGGGGCATAAGAGCTACAGCTACTGCTCGACCGCCGCTGCTGGTGGCGGTGGAGGTTGTGTTGACGGCTGCTGCTGAACGCCGTGCCGCCTGCCGCCGCTTCAACTGGACCAACACACGAGGACCGGCTTCCCCCTTGCCAACAGCGGCAGCATACCAGCAACGACATCAGGACACGAGGCACCCTGAAGCGCGCCGTTGCAATCTCTCGACGTGCGTGGGCCATGGCACCTACGTGCTCAGCTGGGGAGCTGGTCTGTAGTATCATGATGTCGGGCAAGCAGCCAGCAGCCAGCTCTCCGAGGGGGGGACGTGGGACATCTGCGGGTGCACTACATTTTGGTTTCGCTCATCTGTCGGCCCCCCTCATGCGGTCTTCAACGGTCTTGCGTTCTTCGTCATGTCTTTGCTGCCCTGGCACCGCTGATTGTTCTTCCCTGGCTTTGGCTCTGTCTACAGTATCGAAAACCCAACGGAAGGGAAGGAGCACGAGGGAGAGAGAGAACGGACGGGCGAAAGCTAGGGTTCTGCGAGATTAGGCTATTTGTCAAACGCAAAAAGAAGACAGGCCGTCCGATCGTGCGAGAGCCAGCAGAGGCTGCCAGAAAGGAGCGTGTGGGAATCATGCGCATGGGACCCAGCATGCCGCTGCTTGGAGCTTTGCTCGGAGCCGGGTTAACCACGACCTCGGCATTCGTTTCGTGAGTTTGTGGTGCAGGTTGCATATTCGTGTGTCGGTGCAACACCGCCGTGTCCATGCTCGATGTCGTTGCCCGTCGCATGTTGCTCTTTGCAGTTGAACCTGGATCAGCCGCAGGTTCGCGGTTCCTCTCTGCCGCATCAATACTGCTGTAGCTATTTATGCGCGTTCATCCACTATAACCTGCGGTTGGTATCATATCGTAGCTGCTAACACCCGCAGAGAGAAAGTTATTGAAGCAAGGGCAGCTATCGTCGTGTCGTGTAGCGTCTAGAGCCACAGCTCCAGATCTTCGCCTCCTGAATCCTTCTGCGGTGTGTGTGGCAGCGACCACGAAAGGGCAAGACATCCAACAAACCTCAAATCATGAACACGTGTATGTACTTCACCAGCAATACGACGTGCGTAGTTTACTTTGCAAGCTACCCGCCGCGGGTTGTAGTTGCTGAAAAAGTTGGAAACGTTTGTGTACGTATGCATGCCTATGGTAGGGTAGGAAGGCGTTACAACAGGAGTACGTCGTGCGAGATGTCGATAAGTCTTGAGGCCACGCGCTCTTCGGTGTGGCACATAGTGCTCGATGGCCAACCTGTGCGGTAGATACGATACCCCCCCCCCCCGACCTTGGCAGCAGCTCTGCACTGGACCGTTTCGGGCTCACGATGAATCCCACGGTATCCCTGCAACACACTAATGGACTTGTCCTATGGCTACTCCAGTCTTTGAGCGCGATATACGATATATCCAGCCGGCGGGGAAACTAAGGAAATACCCCACCGGTCGGATTTCTAAACAGCGTTGCCGTAAAATGTCTCCACACATGAGCGATAAGAATAAACTTCAGCACGCACCGCAGGAGGAAGGTGGGGCACGAAAATGAAAAGAAAAAGAAGACAAAACCCTGGTGTTTACCCCCTCCCGTGTGACCCTGGATGGTTGTAGTTGTACGAAAAAATACACTGAAAAGTGTAGTACTCTACACATACTGAAAAAGTGTCGTACACGTCTTACCACGAAAAATGGGGGGACTGTCGCCATCATAATTAGGGCGAAACACACAAACACACACACACACACACCGATCGCAGAACAACACATGAGTGGCAATCTCGGATTCCCTTTGAAGTGTGTGCAGCTGTGGAGCCGCTTTGCCAGCATTCCCAACGCCGTAGGCTTGCCTTTCTTCGTTTCTGAAGAGATAGATCGGCGCCCTCCCTGCCGGCTGCACACAACACACACACAAGTGGCAAAACATGCATCCCAACACCATGAAGCCCCTGAGACTTGCTTACCTACGCTGGATAGCGCGTGAGGGTGTACTGATGCAAACGCATGCCGTAGTTGTTTGACCATTGGCCTCGCATCCCTACAACGCCGGGGCGGAGGAACGATATGCCAGGTTTTCGCCGCCCCAGGCTGCTTTTCACAAGCATGAACCAGAAGCTGGTCATCACCCTTGCGTTTTCGTGAGTTTTCTGTTGCAAACCAGATATGTCATAGGTTGATTGGCCATTCCGGCCAACAAACGTTGCTCTGGATAGTGCAAGGGAGGATCATTTGTGTGTATTCCTATCGTACCGTGCTCCCAGGCGCGCACGACCACGAGCCGAGAGTCCCGTACATGGCAAGTTGGTGTTTTGTCCCAAAATTACATCGAAGCACAGCGTCTTCTTCCCGAACCCTTTGTGTAGTGTGCTCACAGCTCAAGAGCCGCGTCTGCAGCTGACCGTCTCATTCGAATATCGCACCACACGCAAGAGCGGGGCTGGCCATATCGTTATCACTGAATAATATTAGTTGAGCCATGATTTCTGTGTATGGATACAATATTGGTGCCGGGGGCCAATATTGCACTCACAGAAGAAGCAGCGTTTCGTTGAAACGAATGTCGTTCACAAACCTGGCGGTGCGCAAAAGTGGCACCCGAACACATTCTTGGGACGGGCGGCATCCGCTGTGGGCCAGCGGTGCAGCGCCTACCCATCTTCTCAACCCGCCTGTGTGTGTGTGTGTCGTTCTGTGTCCCATCTGCGTTTGCTTGACCGTTAATCGGAAATACCCGTAGGCCAGAGTGTAACGCCCAACCCCCCCCTGCCGTGCCCCGTCAACTCTTGTTGAATATCCGAAATCAGGACAACTCCCGTGGTGTCCTCAAGCCTGTCCGCCCGCCAGCAGCACCAGCCATGCAGCAGCAGCAGCAGCGGCAGAACAACACCAGCCACACCAACCTCTCGACGGCGAACAGCTACAACGGCCATGCTGTTTGGGGGCGTAGGAGTGGGCGGGGAGGGTTTGGCGGAGCTCGGGTCGATGGTGTCCGGCGCAGTGGGGCAGGCGCACGCGAGTGCGATGGGTTCCGGCTTGGGTACCTTCCTCCTCCTCGCGGATGATCCGCCGGCGCCCCCCAACATCTATGGCGAAGTCGCACAGGGGTGAGTGTTGGGAACGATGCGTGCGGTGTTGCTACTTGTAGTACGTCTATTCTATTCTAGCATGATGTGTTGGGGTGAGTGAGAGATCGTTTGCTCGTACTGTCAACTCGTTCTGTGTGAACGAGTTCTGTGCGAACGAATGACAAGTGCTTGTTTTCCGGGCCGTCCATTTTGGCGCTCGCACACGTCGTTGGCCTTGTGGTCTGCATCCTTACGGCTGCAGCGGAAACCGTGAAAGACTACAGCGTGGGCGAAGTGTAGACAGGTTGTGGAACGAAAAGGAAGGGGAATCCCTTTCGTATTTTTTGTTGTGGACATGTTGTTCCTGCAGCGCCAATCGACTGGCCTGTTCCCCCGTTTATTGGTTGAGGTCGGTTGTTACTTGCAACGACAAGGATTCGATCACCTGTTCTTACTACTATCCTGCTGTGTTCGGAAATGTGCTGTTCAGACTCTGCTTTTCACTCCAGCAGCAGCTGTAACCGTTTTGGTTTTTCCAGGTTCGACCGACACCGAGCTTGCTGACTCCCACGGTTTCGACCCAGCAACAAAGCAGGCCCCACGTATATCTATCTACCAATCCCCACCGTAGTCATGTAGAGTAGCCCCGTACCTTGCGCGCACGACGCTGGCGATCCGGCCATTTTGCCACCCTATGAACACTCATCGCCCTTTTCCGGTTTCGGTTTGTTTCCTTCGCCTGGCTTTTTCTTGTCTCCTGCATCCGTTCTCGACACGCTTTGTTTTCCACAGAGGGTTTTTCATCATCTTCTCCGGCGTCTTCTCGGCGTACATCATCGCCACGATGATCCGCACCATGCCGATCGACCAGTTGGAGAAGGTGCGTGGTGGGTGTTGGTGTCCCGGCTGCTCTGCTTATCTTGTCGGTGCCGTCGCTGTTCCTGTGCGTAGTCTCGCTCGCGCTCGATTGTTTGTTCTTGCTGTGGTGCTGTTGCTACAGCAGCAATGCATTTTCTTGTCTTGTGGCCACTTTAACTTTCACTCTGTACTCTCCCCAACACATTTGTACAAGTACATCTAAAGCACATTTGAGGATGGGATAGGAGGCGGGCGGGGAATCCACGGAGTCGTTGCTTTCGTGCGGTCGGGCCTGTCTGTCCCTCGAAAGATAATTGATGCCGCTGCTGCTGCTGCTGCTGCGGTGTTGCCAGTTGGTTGTTGTTTCTGGAAACTCTTCAGCTCACCCTTGATCGAGAAAAACCCGAAATTACAACAGAAGAGCAGATCGAAAGCCAAACCACAAAAAAAAAAAAAGCCAGAAGCTGGACCGAAACTGTGTTAAAAAAACCTCAAGGACACTGAAGAAATTCACCAACACCAAGACTCACCAACATCTATGCGACATCAATAAACTCACAATCAATCGGTGCTTGCAACCCAACTCGAAATGGCAGCTCACGGCCGAGCTAGGGGGCGGAAACGAGATCGCCGACTTGGAGGCGCAGAGGATCGAGACCACCAAGAGGTTTAAGGAGCTCACTAAGGACATGGCGCAGGCCGCGGACCCTACGATGGGGGTTAAGCCTGACGACGCGCTGTCGGAGAGGCTGAGCCAGCAGACGACGAAGGCGCTGCAGACGGACATCGCATCCATAGAGGACGAGTACGGGGACTAGACTAGACTAGACGCCGAGGAGTCTTTGGTTGTTTTGGATGGGTGATTTTCGTTTTTGCGGTTTCCCGAATCGTTGATTGTTGACTGTTTTGACTCGCTATGGCTTTTGGGGATGTGCGGCTTGACCGTCCTCTCTCTGGTTGTTTTGCGTTGTCTCTTTCTCGCAGTTCGTGGTCGCCTGTTTTCTTCCTCGTCTCTTTTTTGCTAGGAAGGGGGTTTGATGCCCTCTGTCCGTGGTTCTAGACTCGGAACCAGGACCCCGAGCGATGTATTTACCGAGCGCCATATGGGAAGCTTCGTTTTTCTCGGACAACTCTAGGGACGGAATTTCTTGGCGGGTTGTTGATCTTGAATGACGAGTACAAGGTTATTTCTATTTCCTCTTGTATTGTCCAGAAGTATGCGGATTTCGAGGAGCCTTGGTTGAAGTCGACTGAACTAAAGATAGAGCAGTAGAACATGATGTTCCTCTCGGCCTGTCTAGACTACAGTACCTACAGCGTTTGGAGAAAATACTATTTTGTTGAAAATGGACGCGTTTTTATTTTCAAGCAGACACCCACGCCCATGCGATGCCGAGTGGCACTGCATGGAGATGTGCCGATTCCATGTGAGATAAACGTGGAGGACGCCTTCTCTGCGGGATGCTTTTTGAGGCAACGTTTGGTGCACCAAATTTCGTGACCTAAATCACCAGAGATGGATGGGCTTTTGAGCGACAAAAGTTGTGGGGATGCTGCACCTTCGATCAGGTTCATTCCAAGAGCTTCGACCAAGATGTGGTGGCCGAGGTCTTGGAAATGGAGCGATGTCCACGGCTGTCCTCTGCGCGTTTCTCAGCCAAGATCGACTTTGTAGATTGTGGAGATTGTGGAGAGATGAAGTAGACATTGTTCTGCCAGTCTTTTCTGTTGCTTGACTGCTGTGGCGCCCTTGCCCACATAGCTTGAGTACATAGACTACGCCGGCGGCAACAGTGGGAAAGGATGACACATACGCATGCCAGTTTGAACTTATTTCAGCAAGAGTAGGTGGGGAACCTCTCTCTCTCCACGCGTGTGAAACCGGTTCTTCTCGTAACCCTTTCAATAGCTTCGTTGGAATAGTGAAGGAGAGGCGGCGGCCGTTGCATGGTCGATTGCCCCTAAGGAGAGTTGGATTCACAGCCAGCCGAACGGATGGATAACAAAATTGCATCCTGCGGTGTCGGCATAAATACAACCGCTTCTGTACACTTTTCTCCCCTCCCTGTCTCCTGGGAGGAAGACGCCGATCAACTCTATTCCTGTGTGAAGCCCTACCGGACCGACATCATCTATGTTGTGCGGTGACCGAAAGACGGCGTCGAGAAAACGAGAAAACGGATACCTCCCCGACACCCCGAAAGGCAGTACCGTTTGTGCTGTTTGGTGTTGTGGATGGCAATAACTATTAGTGCAAGAGACAGACGCTGTCTCGCAGCCCATAGCTTCTCGCTCTTTGCGTCTTTCCAACGCGCCCGCGCGTATGTGTTGTTTCCACCCGATACCCGACCCCAACGGCAAACATGTCGAATCTACGAAAAACGGAGAAATGGGGTTCATACAGCGAAGAAGCTTGTGGAGATCTCCGAAAAAAAAAAATGGTCCCTGCGAGACTGCTGCTGGCGGTTGGCGGTACACCTGCCGTCTTTCTGTAAGCATCCCTACCTCCTGGATTCCCTGGGGAGAAAACAGAGACGAAAGTGAGTGCATGCTATTGGTTCAGGGTTGGTGTCGAGATGGAAAAGGAGTGTTGCTGTGTGGGGGGTAGTGTGAAAGAGTGTAGCGTTCCGAGGTTGTCCCGCATCTGTACAACTGCACACGATTCGGGTGTTGGATGTATGCATACAGTACCGACACCATTTTAACACCAACGGGTGCTACCGCTGTGCTGCGTCGGCGCTCGTGTGAAAGGCTCATTGACTTCGTTTCGCTTGGACGGATGGGGGCAGAATAATAGGCGGAAAATCACGCCGACGCAAGATGGCATGCTGCTCCGTTCAGTCAGTATCGAACCACAGCGCTCACTGGAACGAGTCATCACATTGCTGAAAGCTGACCCAGGGCTCCGACTTTTGTAGAAGACAACGCCGGCCGAAACCGAGCTCGGCTGACGGCACGACAGGGAACACCTCATGGTCGCTAGTAGTAGCCTTTGGCTCAGTCGCTGGGACCCGACAATGCTTTGGGTCTTTTCCTCAACAACTAGTGGGACACCCCTCGGTAAACTGAGTTCAACCGGCCGCCGTTGTGTCGTCCGTATCCTCGGGGATGTTTCAGCAAAGAAGGTGGTTCCTTGAGGTGCTGCTGCTGTGCCTGCTCACTCTCACGTGCTTTAATGGAAAACCACGCGTGTCTTTGTTCAAAGGACTTGGGGGGGCAGCCCGTATTGCAGGATTGTCAACAAGGCTGCAGCTAGAATACTCTATATGTTCTTCTTTGCGGCATCCTCGACACACAGACACTCCCCATTTTCTTTTTGCAGAGAACAGCAACCGTTTCCATGCTCTTTCGACCAACCAACCGAACCGTTGTGACGATGATGGGGACACTCAAGCTTCAGCTCAGAGACAAGCCACCGACACAGAAAATGGGAGCGCTTAGGCTTGGGGTCTGGAGCAGCACCTTACAGCAGTGCTGCAGTAGTACCACCTGGTCGAAAGAATGTGGCTGACTGAGCAAGACAGCACACCAGTGACCGCATTGATATCTCAGTGTGAGAGGCGTCCGTTCTATATAAACAGACTCAAATAATTTCTGTTTCCAGCGAATGAAATGATTCCCGTCGATTGTGGCATCCTCTCGAACGGCCAGCTCTTGCTGCGGTTGCATTTTCTGGGCGATGGTGTGCCCGCTGCTGTACTGCAGTCCTTTGCGCTTTGTTTGCATTCTGGTTTGGAATTCCCACTACTACCGCTGTCGACCAAGTGGTAAAGTAGGCTCCGCAGGTTGGCCAACCTTGAAACCGTCTCAACACCAAAATACTGCAGTAGTTGGTATATCGGTGCCATGAGTCTGTTCCGAGTTGGAAATTTCACAGCGGCGAGATAATTTTAGACGAAAAATGATGCCGGGTAGGTTTTCTTTCGAAAATGTTCTGTGCCCCCCCTCGTGTTTCTTTTTATTGTTCTTTTCTGGCGTTGTCCCGCGGCTCAACCCGTTCAGGATACCGCACAGCACCAGGAGAAACGACAAGATAAACAACAAAAGACGGATAGAGATGAAATTCGTGGTGTGATTCGTGAGAAGCACAGAAACAAAGCGTCCATTGGGCGTGATCCATGGATAAAGTCGACTGCTGTATCGCGAACCAAGAACTCCTTCTAAAATAACATTTGTAGATACCTCAGTGTCACCCTGTGTAATAACGTGTGAGAGTGTGCCCTCCACCTTCTGACCCCCAGAGACTCTCGATCCCTCCTCCGCAACAGAGAGGGAGCAAGGAGCCAGAACTAGAGCGAGCTCCGGAACACGTCACACCACTCAGAGGATATCACCCCATTGGGAGCAACTGGGGGGGGGGGAGGGGGCACGCGGCCGAGACGCGGCGAGCGGGGGGCGTGGGGTAGCATTCCCGGCTGACTAGCCGACGGGCACGCCCCCCGCGCGCGGGCGGGTGGCAGCGAGACGAGCGTGTAGCTCTCGTGAAACTGGTGTCGTCTTTTTCGCCGTAAAATTTAGTTCAAATCACAACATCACCGTCACCCGTCATCCGAAAGAGAGAGCGGGATGGCGTCGACGTCGGCGGGCACCATCCCTCCTTCCCTCTTCACGGTGGCCCCTACGAACGGCACCACCGGAGGGAACTCCACCGTCGCCACCCCGTTTCCGACGCCCGCTCCTGCGGAGCTCCCCGAGGGCGCCGCGCCCAACGTGCAGACGGACGATTGGCGAGACGTTCAGGTGCGGAGCGAGGTTGGAGGTTTGGGGCGGGTGGGGTTGTGGGTGCGAAGCTGCGATGAGTGGCAGCGGGTGCCCTGGGCGGGGGAGGGGCGAGGGGGGGGGGGCACTCGTAGTCGTGCATGCCGTATTATAGTCGTTATAGACCATTGACCTACCATCCCTACAAAGCCGGGACGGAGCACGCCGGGTTCTCACCGGAACCTGGCTCTCACATCACCAAGTGCGAAGCGCCGTGAGGTATTCGGGGAGTCGCATGGAGGGTGCGCTTCATCCTGCTAAGTAAGAGTGTTCGGCATCTTGTGCATGCTTCCTTGCGTACGGATGACAGCTGCGAATTAGCGGGTTTGAGGGGCGGGGTGCTACTAAGGTGTCCAGCGACGTTGGTGAGGCACGTCTGTCTCTGATTGGAACAACTGCAGCAGATGTATACGCATGCATTGGTTGTTTTTTGGGTGTGTCCGTGGAACCCGTCGACGAAGAGGAGAGCGCCAACTTACGCCCTGATGATTCAGCACCTGCCCCATTCAAGACGTCCATATTTCGATTTGTTGTTCAGTCGATTTTGACGTACCGTGGGGTTTGCGTACACGTGTGTAGGCAGGTACCGACGACTTGACGCACGCTACCAAACCATTTGGCGGACCTTTGTACGCGTTTGCGGCTCATCTCTGCCATGTCTGCCAGATGCAACTGAGCTCCCTGCCCGTTGACCACTCGCTCCGTCTCGGGGCTTGTCTTGACAAGGTCACCAGGGCCTACAGCAGCAGACTAGTGCAAGAACTCATCCTCTCCCGTGTATGTTGAACCCCCCCCTCCCTCTCCTCGCCATTTTAGGTCACCGCGTTCACCAGCCTGGCTGCCGGGGCGGTACTGCTGACGCTGTTCGAGTGCCTAAGGGGAAGGAGGAACCGAGGGTGTAGATCCCTCTACCGACAGCGACATAGCCTGTGAGTGCCCCCCCCCCCCCCTTGGATGCCTGTCTGTGTGCACCCTTATTTGCGCGTATGCCAGAAGTTGGAGCCACACAGCATTGCCCCTCTCAATTTCTCCCCAATATGTATCTTGTTGAATACCTCACGGTGCTTCGCGCTTGGCGATGTGAGAGCCTGGTCCGGTGAGAACCCGGCGTGCTCCTTCCCGGCTTTGTAGGGGCGCGAGGTCAATGGTCTGACGACTGCGGCATGCACGACTATGAGTACACCCCCCCATCTCTTGTTTGCACCTCCGTGTACTTTTCTTTTTTTTTTGCGTCATTCCACCCTACTTTCTTAATCCGGTGCGAACCGCGGTCTGGCAGACGCTTTCGCAGGAAGAGTCTCGCATTTCCTCGCATCGTCATCCGTGTGATGCGTCTCCGCGCCTTCGTTGCCGTTGCTCCACCGTTGTTACCATCTCTGGTACAACCTCCGGCGCACCACCCTTGTGGCTGGCAGGCGCTTTCGCAAGAAGAACGTCCGCCTCAAGAGGATCGCCGTAAAGCCTTACCCGAGAGGGTTTCTCCGCTGGATATCTAGCACCTGGAGAGTCTCAGACGCGGAATTTTACGAGCAGGTGCATTTTTTTTTTTTGCCGTGGGTTCTTAACTCACCTTTCGGTACAACACAGTAGTAGCTTCGAAGGGTTTTTCTATTGAGTAGTAAACATGTTGGGTAAATCATGCAATCGGGGAAGTTGGGTTGGGGAGTAGGGTCTGCGTATCCCCTCCCTGTTCTATTTCCTCATACACTTGTTGATCTCACGAAGGCGCTCCGGTCCGTACACCATCCGGGGGTCGCACGGCCACACTCTGAGTGTGGTACATGCATACGTACATCTACGCATAATATTCAGACCTTGAGTCAAATCACGGCTGCAGCAGGGCGCGACGACTGGGAGGTGGTTTAGATGCACATGAAGGGATTGGCAGGGAGTCCAATCAGAAAAGACTGGCTGCCTTGCCCGGAAAGATGCATGGTGCTCGTGCTGCTGCTGCTGCTGCTGCTGCCGTACTGGCGGGGATACGATTTGGTGATTGTTGTTTCTTGGCGTTCGCTTTGCTTCCTCCCTCACTCGTTTTTTTCCTCTCGACGGCGACAGGTGGGGATGGACGGGTACGTGACCCTGCGCTTCATCAAGCTGTGCAAGCGCCTGTGCGCCTTCGCGGCCTTCTTCGGTGAGATTCTGTCGTGTGGTGAACCTCCGTGACGCATGCCGCATGCATGCGAACATCGTCTACGTACAGACGCACGCGATATGTATTCATACATTAGCGTGTCATCGTCACACAGGTCCACAGGCATCGGCATCGCACTTCGAAGCAAATCACGTGTGCAGACATGATTTAGTGCGTGGTATTGCAGCGTCCCAATCTCACAGGGGTGCAGTTGACGACCGGCTGAGCTTTCAAGCCGGCACTACTCTGCGTTGCCCCCCGCCCCCCTGTTAAAAAAAAAAAGGGGACCGCGAAGATCTCTGTAACCGATCAACCCACCCGTACGCGCGCACACGCACGCAGGCATGGTTTTCTTGCTCCCTATCTACGAGCAGGGGATCAACGACAGCGAGGGGGCGTCGCGGCTGTCGATGGCCAACCTGCAGGAGGGGGGTGAGACCCTCTGGAGCGGGGTGGTGTTCGCCTACCTCTTCACGATCTACTTCCTCTACAGCCTCAGGAAGGAATTTTTCGCGTGAGTCGACTGGACTGTTTGCTGCTGCTGCTGCTGTCGTGGTTGTGGTTGTCGTCGTTGTCGTCGTTGTTGTTGTCGTTGTTGTTGTTGTTGTTGTTGTTGTTGTTGTTGTTGTTGTTGTTGTTGTTGTTGTTGTGGTTGTTGTCGTGCTTCCTCGTCCTGTACCCGCGACTGCGGCGTGGAGAACGAATCCCCGCGGCCACATAACTAACTCCGGATGAGGTCGAAGGAACTGCTGTAAAGTCGGTAAAGGCCCAGAGAGAGAGTCCCACCACCCGCGATGACGCGATACATGCTTTGAGTGTGGTTATATGGCATCGACCGCGCTAAACCCCAACATCGTGTGCATAGTTTGGCCATCGACTATGCTGACCAGTGCAATACCCCAGTCTCAGTGCGGCAAAGACTCTTCTAATTGCCATGTGTGCGTTTGCGCGTGCAGGTTTTCGGACCTACGCAACGATTGGTTGGCCGGCGGAGACGTGGCTCGAAGCACGCAGACCGCCTACACGGTGCGGGTGGAGCGGATCCCGAGGGCCTTCCGAAGCCCCGTCATCCTCCAGAAGTTCTTCAGCACGCTCTTCCCCGGCCAGGTTTGAAATGCTGGCGTGGTTGTTGGTGTTGTTGGTGTTATTGGTGTTGGTTTGGTAGAGGTGTTGTGGATGTTGGTGCTGGTGGTGGTGGGGTGTTGTTGTTGTTGTTGTTGTTGTTGTTGTTGGTGATGGTGTTGGCGGTGTTGGTAGCGGTGTTGGTAGCGTTGTTGTTGTTGTTGTTGTTGCTGCTGTTGTTGTTGCTGTTGTTGTTGTTGTTGGTGGTGGTGGCGGTGGTGGTGGTGTTGACGGTGGTGGTGGCGTTGTTGTTGTTGCTGCTGCTGCTGCTGTTGTTGTCGTCGTCGTCGTCTTCATCGTCGTCGTTGTTGTCGTCGTTGTTGTGGTCATTGCTGCTGCTGCTGCTGTTTTTGGAGCCGCGTCGTTGCCATATAGTCACTGCTGTGTTCCACCGTGCGCGAGGAAGACTCTGGTTCGTCTTCGGTTCCTGCTGCCATTTTCCTGCGCCTCTTCTCTCCGTCCGCTTGCCGGATGGTCAGATCCATAGCGCCACCGTTTGCCTCGGGCTGAAGGACCTGAGAGCGCTGACCCTCAAGCGAGCCAAGTGCCTGCAGGCGTTGGAGAGGGCCATCATCCGTCAAGAGGTGCGCGTTGTTGCTGTCGTCCTTGTTGCCGCCGTGGTCGTGGTCGTGGTCGTTGTCGTCGCCCTTATTGTTGTTGTTGTTGTTGTTGTTGTTTTTGTTGTTGTTGACGACGTCAACCTTTCTGGAAACCTCTCTCTTGTCCCTTGGTTTGCGACAATCCATTCCGAAGCCCCCCCTGCCCCCCCCCCCCCC